AAATCTCCATTACTGAAGAGCTAAGACCTCACACTAAAGCAGTTCACCTTGTAAAGCACAGACATTGTTTTTCTGCTGGCCTTTATGTAAAGATGGGACATTCTAAAGCTGCTTTACTCTCTGCAGCTGGCCCTTTGATGCTCTCAGACAAATTGATTTTTTGAAAACTTGCCTCACACATAAATACTCTCCTCACATCCCAAGTGGGCCCCATATGCACAGGGAACAACACAGAACAGCACATCACTGGTGTCATTGGTGATTCAACAGCAGTGTGGACCATAACGGAATAAAAATAGTCCCATAAAAGCAATCTGCACAACACTAATCTTGATTTCAAAGCTACCCATGAGGGATGGCCCTCTGCAATCCCTCCGAGATTGCCTCCACAGAAATCATGCCCATTGCTGGAAATCTGCAACATATTTCTGCTCTATCTGGCATCAGCTTCTGGCCATTAACTCCTGGTAACTCAYAGTTTGCTCAACAGAAGGAAACCTCTATTATTAAAGGTTTGTTCCACAACTGGGTCCTTCAGGATTTTGACCAAGACACCTCTTAGGCTTTTCATCAATGAATAGACTGATCTTGAGGCACATTCTGATCCACAGCCTCTCACCCCTTCATTCATTCATTTGGTGCTTCCCCGAACTCTCCAATTTTTCTGATTTTCAGTAGTGTAGCATCCTGCTAAATCAGTCACATCATTAGTATTGAGTCTTCCACCCTCTGGCAATATTCATCCATTGTTTCCATAAGGGATGCAAGAGATTTATCAGACAGGGGTTACACAGCAGCCTCCTGGAGCAGGTRGACAGCCCTGGTTTTTTCCACAGATCTGAATTCCACCGATCTTGGTCTCAGGACAGAGCAGTGTCCCAGCAGAGAATCATTAACCACACACCCTACACTGCATACATGTAATTAGCTGGACCCTTCCTGGTGCTGAATCCTTATCATCATCCTGAGGGTAGACATGAGGCGAGACTACACTCACAGCTGGCAGGTGGTCCTGTAAATTTGGGGGTTCCAGGGGTTCTATATCCATTAACGCCAGTTGGAACACCCCACCCTGAACCTACTTTTGTTGAGGTTCGTCATTCATTGTTCCTTTGTTCATCTTAGCTTCCTTTCAGAAACTGATTCTTTGTTCTTCCTTTAATTGCTTCATTCACTTGATTTATTTCTATAGATCTGTTTCAGTAACAGAGGGACCAAGCCCACATTCCTTTCACAGATCTTCCTTCTTTTTCTTTTTGCATACAAATATGTAGAGACAACTGCTTTGTCTTAATCGTGCTGCAAAGGATCATTTCAGTGGTTTGTTAATACTTCACCATCTGGTAGAAGAATACTTCACCACTTGGAGGAAGACAAAATCTMTTTCTGAAAGCTTTTACAACCTGAGGCAACAGCATGCAAAAGCACACAGCGTTAGATGTAGCAATTGCARGCACAAGCCTTTTACCTTCACTTTTGTTATCACAATGCTTCATTTACTTATTAAACAAAATGCATGACAGGAAAATGGGGTCTTCTGTTATTATTTCAGTGCCTGAAGATGGATGATATAGACACCTCGTTATGATCTGGAAAGCTATTTTAGACCATGGTTCTGTTCAAACTGTCCCATTTCTGTAGCACAGAATCACATAACAAGTCGATACAAGTGAAAACATGAGCTTACACCTTCAGGTTAAATCTGTCTGTCACAAGGATTTCCCTGAGAAAAAAAAAGCCAAAACAACTTTCTTTCCCATTTCCATCTGTTGACTCACACTTCTGCCTGGTGAAATGCCTCAGTGAGAAGCAGAGTATCTCTGRTACCATCCCCTGACGGAGCGGAGTAGGCTGAGTCAGGGAAAGTAGTGTGCAAACATCTTTCATTCAAAKGTATGTCAGCTCTTCCTTCTGGTAGTGATGGATTCTGGAACTTTAATTTGTGTCTTCAGTTGTCAAAATAAACGTTGAAAATCCCACCTGCTTATTCAAGTGGTTGGCAATTATATTAAAGGGCTTTTCTTTTCTTCCGTTAAAGCATGAACTACARCTAGGCAATATAAAAGCTCTTGTAATTCTCTGTGTGATCTGTACTACCAAGTCTGCATTCAGAGTAAGCTTCTTTTATACAGCCAATGAACAAAAAGGCCCAAAATATCAGCAGAAGAACTCTCAGCAGGAATAAAGAATCCATAGGCACCAAAGGTTGACTGTTACCTTATGTTTTGCCATCACAGAGTACTCCTCTCTGAAACACCAGGAGCTGAAAACCGTGTATATGTTTTTGCCATATTTATACATGTCTGCTTTCAGAATCTAGTGAAAATATGTGGATAGGATGACTGTAAAGTATGTTGTCAGGCCTGAACCTGCCCTTAAAGTCTGGATTGCAAAAACAGCCTTTCATCTTTCTATCTTGGCAAGTCTCCTTCTAATGGCAGATGTGACAGATAAAAAAGCTGTGTGTTTCTGGACAATATCAGTGTGAATGGCCAGTGACAAAGGTCTTTAGCCTGACCCCATTTCATCCTACTACTGCTTTAAAAAAAATTAAGTGATTCATTTATTGKGTGTTTAAACATAAAGTATAAAGAYGACTTTGAAACACATTTAGGGCTCAATTTTTTTTAGAACAAGATGTGCTAAAAATAAACACCCATGATAGATAGATGCAGTGGCAGTACATGCCAAAGCTACGGTTAAATTATGTGCSTGTACATGCATCAGTACACACACAAAATTCTGAAATCTTTGGCCTGTCACTTGTAGAAGCTCACATACTGCTAATATTCASTGTCTGGTGAGAGCTTCTTTGTTTTCCTAGTAATAGCAGCAAAAGGCCTGGCTGTTAATCCTAAAAYACACTATCTGACAATGATTCTCTACCTGTTACATTTCACAAATACAATTTCCAGCAAGGAAAACTTAATCTTCATATATAAGCAGGCAGAAAATACCTCAGAGAGTATGTTATTAAATTATTGTCTCGTAGAGAAATTTTGGTGTGACCTTCCTTCTACAGCAGGAAGCAGTCTTTGTATAATTCTCAGAACAGCTTGTAGGGAACAGATCAAGATTTCAACCCATGAATGGACTGAATGCCTCCTSCACTCCAATTTTTTTTCTCTGTATGCTACCCCTAACAGAACCTTCTTCCTTCTCATGTGTTTTCCAAATCTCAGGGGTCTCTGACCTTATTGTGTTAGATTTYATTAGCACTTCTAGGTAGAGCCCATCCTGTGGAGGAAATCAAGGGCATCCAAAGAGTCTGTCCATCCTTTTTGTCATCTTTCAGACTCTCCTCACTTCTGCCTCTCTTGAGTGGTGGCAGAAGTCCATAAAAATATGGTTCATTCCTCAAAGTCAAGATGAGGCCTCATGGCACCATGATTCCATGTTACCTGTTCAASTGTGGGCTGCATGAAGTAGCTGTTAGCTAAGCCAGCAAATGGTTGATTTCTACTGGTGGCAGAGAAAATTCCCATCAGAAGTAAGCAMAAGGATGCTGCTCAAGGCTTTGGAATCTCCTCAGCCACAAAAAGCAGGAAGCAAAGGGATCATTTAGTCAGATTTCATGGTCTCCTCTGGGTGATGTTCTTCCCACTGCTGAGCTCAGGGAGAGGTGTGCCAGTGCGCCAGCCTGGTGTGCCCATCTTTTGTTCTTGGAAAGACAGAAGACAAAGACCRAAGTTTTCCTTCTGTGGGCTAAGCTGAAAGAGCCATTTCCACAGGCTCAGCAGTTTATTAGGGAACTGTCTCTTCTTAAGGAGTCCACTGGGATTTGATTCTTGCTGGTGGGTCAGGAGGCTTGGCAGCGGGGGGTGAGACATGTCTGACAAGCCTGGTAGGGTGAGGAGAAGGGGAATGTGCACTGCAGCCTTCAGGATGCTGCASAGGAATCTAGCAATTAAAGTGAGACTCAGATGTGTGAGGGAAGTTTTGCACCAGGCAGGTGAACATGCCATCAAGGAACAAAGGCGTAGTTGTCATGAGAAAGATGTGAAACATCAAAGAAAAAAAAAGTCAAGGAAAATCTATGCAGAACCTGAGCTACAAAAAGATCAAAACCCCTGAATTTCTAAACATTTCTCTGTACATAGTTAATCTTTTTTCCAGATCTATGGGCATCAACTATATTCCAAAACAGAATGACAAAGAAATTCCCAGTAGAACCTGGTATTTTTTTTCCAGGACCTTATGAGGAATTTTTTGTGTTTTGCTTACTAGTTTCACTCTGCCCCCGAGATACAGTCACCAGAACTAAAATCACCTTCTGGCCACTAGATTCTCSTGGTGAAGTACCCAGAAAAGGGCTGTACACTTCCTGAGAAACATACCAAATGACAGCATTTATTATCCTCTTCCCCAAGCTGGACATTCTGAGAAATAAGGTGAACATAAGTGAGTCAGAAAAAGATAATCACTCTACCACCTCAAGAGGAAACTGGGACGGATATCCAGCTCCTCAAGTCTATTCATGCAGGTTCTTCTCCTGTGCTTAGCAGCCCACTGCCTGACACCAGTGTGGTGAGCAGTATGACTAATATCTAGCATATGTTGTTTGCTTTCTCATTCTCTCCAGAGGAAGCAGCATATGCACCAGTGTGCCTTGTTTGGTAGGATTTTCTGCTCTCTTTTTTAAATAGAGGTGCTGCTCTGCATTTATCCTACAGAAAGGTTCAGACCCTGTGCTTTGAGGGGAAGGTGGTGAGGCATGGGGCAGCACTTAATTCTTGTCTGTGTTTGTTCAGCARCCTCTGAAGAATGAGAAAGTTTTGCCTGACTTATCCAGAGGCTTTGCTGTGACTACAGAGCTGATGTGCAGCGCTATCAGAGCAGGGATTCTCAGGTCAGCAGCTTTTGGCAGTCACTATCTTTGCCTTAAAACAGAAAAATTCAACCTCTTGAGYATATCAGCCAGCCAGCCCTGAGAAATATTGCTGGAGAGATGATCAAACATTTGGATGCACTTTCTGTGAGTTAGCTAGCAAGGCCAGCCCCTTCTGCTGACGTCTTTCCTCTCTATCACACATCAGACTTTTCCCAGTGGAGCTGGAGAACAGGCTTCAATGAAAACTGCCTGTTTGCAGCCATATGGAGATTGCAGGCACCACAATCACTGTTTTCTCTACCTGACCTGGAGCAGCAACTCCATCATCAGGATAGAAAGGTAGCCTTGTTGCCTAGCAAAGGTGGGATGATTTATCTGCRTCTCTAGATTGGTCCCTTTTCTTTGCTGCACAAGAGAATTGCTTTCAGACTTCCAAGGAGAATGAAGCCAGGCTAGAAATCGSACTGGATGTGGGAGAGCTGCTCTCCCAGGGAGTAGAAGGAGTCACAGGTTCTCTGTGTTTTCTGTACCTGTGCAGTGCAGGACAATGGTTTTGTCTGCTCCAGTTATAGCCCTGGGGGCTACCTTGGGGACTGCAACTAGCATCCTTGCCCTCTGCGGTCTCACCTGCTTCTGCAAATGCAAGCAGCCTGGGAAAGGACTCTCAGAAAAGGACCAAGAGGAGGAGACGGAAAACACTAAGCCCAGTGTGCTTCAGCCAGTCCAGCAAGTAAGACACAGTTTCTRATTTACTCTGTGATTTTTTCTTTAAATGCAGAGGGTGGGAATGCAACTTCCCTGTGAGGCTACTCAGCATGTGATTTATGCTGCCTGTTTATCGGCTTGCTGTGCTCAGGATATAACAACATGCCAGTGGGAGGAGGAGTGAGGGAATAACAGAGATGARCTGGGTAATACAGAATCACCGGAGCAGGAGACAGCTCTCACAGAGCCAAAGAGAGCGCTGCTAATGGCAGAARCAGGGGATGAGGACTGAAAATGTTGCTTAGTTGTTAAGATAGATAAAAATAATTTCCTGAGAAGACTGGACTGTACCAGGTGGCACGCAGCATTGTGAAGAGGAGATGGCTCCTGCTGAGATCTCATACAGCAGCTATTTAATTCTGTTCACAGTATCTCATAYCTCCTGCAGGATTGTTCCCTGTCAACAGCTGGTTTCTTGTGAAAACCTTCCCTCCTCCTCTCTCTGCCCCTCTAACTGAGGGMATTAATTATGTGTGAAGTTAAAACAAGGCATTGAAATCATAATAAAATGCAAGTGAGAATCTAGACTGATGACAATCTCATCACACTGTGAATTTCTGTTTCACTCAGTGTAAAAGCAATGTGGAGTCAGGCATCCCTGTGTGCTTTTTCATTTTTTGTTAGAATCCAAATGGCCTGATTTACTCCTGAGCTCAGTGTAAGAGATAGCTTGGGGCATTATAGAATGCTTCTAATATATTTATTAATGGGAATCTCTTCTTCAAAGGGAAATGTTTGATGATTTTCTTGGTTGAATATGTYCTTTAGCATGAGCTATAGCACGGGTCAGTCTCTGAAAGTATTACCTGTTGGCTGTCGTTTCTGATGTTTTCATGTACCTGTGTCCTTTTCACTTTCACGTAGCCATTCAATCAAGTGTTATGGCATAGCAGGYAATTCCAAAGGCCTGTGATCCATTGTGTAAGAGTCTTTGTTTGCCTTTTAATTATTTGAGCTGACTATTATTTTTGTATTCTTAAAGAGTGTAGCAGGAGTCTTAATTGAACTTCTCTGTAATGTTTGTAATTAAATATTCAATCCTTCTCTAGCTCCCACTCTTCGGCTCTTAGCAGAAAATAACCTTGGCATCCTCATGCTCCTGTTGCAGTTTATTCTGAGGAAAGATGACCAAATCCACAAGCTGTATTGTAAAAACCAGTGCAGATACAGAGAATGGCATCAGCAGATTGTGGTTGCTGTAGGGGGGAGGGGAGGTGTGGGAGGATGGCTCCACTGACCATGGATTAACACCTGCACAGAGTTCAGGACTTCTCAAGAGATTGCTGCTAATCCTGAGCCTTTCTCCATGAGCCTGGTGAATAACTCTAGTACCTGTTTGCATTGTCCTAGGATAGATTTCACCTGCTATTGTGTTTCACAGCTCAGTCATGTCCCTTTCAGGCTCCTTTCTTGTCTTTTCTATCCCATACAGGGGATTTGCCAAYGCCTGTGTATAAGAATGTACAATGATGTGGAGATTTTCCAAGTTTACTGTTAACATGAATAAGAAATGTGTAACTTTGACAGCCATATCACTCTGCATAGCAATTTTTCTAGCTGTTGTCTGGAGCAACAGTATCCACAGTTAACTTTACCATCAGGCTTTTTCTACAAGGGATTTTGTTTTTGTAATCTCCAAGCTTAGAAACATCTCAAATCTTCATTTTAACTTTATTCTTGGACTGGGCTTTTTTTTTTTTTTTTTTTTTTTTTTTTTTTTTTTTTTTTTTTTTTTTTTTTTTTTTTTTTTCTTTTATACAGCCTTTTGGGCAACATCTTGGGAAAGTGTTAATCCATCCTTGATCTTGTCCACCAGGGTGTTATCCTGTTTGCAGGACTGAAATTAGCACTAGGTCTCCAAATTGTTCATTTAAGCCTCCAGTACCCAGCAGCTATTCAGTTTGGTCCTCACAACATTGATCAGGTTTTGCCATGACTTAATCCAGTATTTGACCAATTTGACTGGATTATTAAACATGCCCTAGATATATCACTATTATCTGAGTGAAGGCATTCTTTCAGCACTGTAGACTTTTTAATTTGAAGAATTATTTCCAATGTTACTGGCTTTAGGGTTTTTTTTAAAGAAATCTTGCCAGATTACAGCAGCCGAGTGAACATTCTGTCACAGAGAGTGCAAAATGTTCTTAGTTTGCATATTCCATATGTTTAGCAATTCTTTCCAATTAAAATAATTTTCTTGCCAGGAACAAGTATTATCCTATGCTGTCACTGATTCAGAATCAGTCTCTATACCTTCAGAAATGAATCTCAATTTGAGTTTTGAGTTCGTGAAATTTTAATATCTCTGTGTTTATAAATTGTCCCATCAGGACTTTTGTCTGGCTACATTAGTACACRGTATGTCCCAGTCAGTGTTTGGCACACTTAATTATTGAAGCCTGTCAGGACCACTGATTCTGATAAACACAGATGACAAAAGGAAGATGTAGCAAGTCTGCATTTCAATCCCTTGGCATGTCTCCCATRACAGTGATGCTTGTATTCGCCATAGACAGAGGCTCCTCATGGACATGCTCTGCATGTGTGAGGAGAAGGAGCTCAAACACAAACATACATCTACACAACAACGAGAAACTGCTGTAAATTTGCAAAGTCTCAGCAAAGCCTGCAAGATGAAGGTTCCTAAGCACAGCCAGCAATGAGTGACGTGGGGCAGGGACACAGAAGGGTCACTTGCAGTCTCCTTGCTCCTTTTAGTTTCATGCATTTTGCTTTCATGCATTTTTGCAGAACTATCTGAACTCTTCTGCTCATGTCTTTAATTAAGACACATGCTAAGTTGCAGAGAACTTCCATAGGGCACTGCTATGTAACTGGAATAGCAGACAGCACTTGGGAAAGGAGCTGGCAGCAAAATAATAAACAGAGGCAGWTGCAGTTGGAAGAGGGGGTGGGCTGGTCCCACTGTGCTTGCATATGTCTCTCATCTCTAATTCTGCAGAGCAGACAGACAAGAGGAATATTTAGACCCAATGGAGCTCTTACTTGCTGAGCGCTGACGGATTTCCTGACTAAATGCCTGACTTWTAGCAAGAGGAAGAAAAGACTGTACTAACAATACCTGAAATTTGTGTGGTGTTTTGCATCCCAAAGGGCCTCAGAGCTGTTTGTGTGCTGGCAGCACAGAGCAATGCAAGCAGAGGCCCCGGAGTGAGGGCAGTGAGTGGAAGGACAGCAGCCTGACACCGCAGGCAGGAGAGAGAGCAGCACAGACAGACCAGCACCTCAGGCATTGGGTGTGTGCTGGATGTGATGCCTCTGCACAACAAAACCAACCTGCCTTTCCTACTGCTGTCTAGTGATTCCTCACGTATTTTGCTTGGTTGGTTCGCTTTAATTTTTGGAAATGGAAAACTGCATTTAAGGTTTGGATGAATTACTTCACATTTCCTAGGTATTTTAGGACTGATGAGGCTCACATCTCTACATGAGTGATCTCACTTACAGCTCCACACCGTGTAACTTACATAATACCTAAACTCAGCTGAAGGCTAGGTGAGGATGGCACACAGTGACGTCTTTCCTTCTCAGCCCACTTCTCTTTCAAAGCCCTTGGAATTAGACAAGACAAAATGCCATGTTGCAAAGGAGACTTGCTGAACACCAGTGCACTGGCGGCCTTGGGGAGATGGAGTCACTGGCCTAATTAGCTCCCTATCCACTGCCAAGATCCAACCAGGATCTCCATAAGCAGAATTTGGCTAAGTTAACATCCAAGACTGCTCTCTTTCTTCAACGCTGTTTCTTGAGAGAAAGGTATGCTTTCTCTGGACATACAAGCTGGGACCAGGAAATCCCARCACAGACAAGAGCTTCAGGGCATCATTACATTCACTATTAATGGGGAACAATAAGACGAATGAAAAACTTTAATTACAGTTATGAAMCTTTTCTGTCTTAGCCTCAACCTTGACATAAAATAGGTTGACAGACAGTAGGTTGGAGATAATCCCACTGCATAATAATCAACCAAAACAGCTATTTTGTTTCTGCTTTTTGTCTTTCATGTTTTGAAAATATTAATAAAATCTGTTGCAAGTGTTGGGGTCATTTGCTAGTCAGCTTTTGTTCTTCTTCATTGATGAATCCAAATATAAATGAAGCAGAAATAATTTCAATTGTAAGCAGGCAGGATTCTTTCTCAGGAGAAATGGGAAAAAAAGGCTGTTCTATTCYACTAAAATATTTTTCTTTGTTTTGAGAGAACAGAAATGTCTGTTTTGTCAGCTTTTGCTTGGACTGCCTGAGCACTGCATCGTCTGGCAGGTTCTTCTGCTCATTCCATGTTCTTGTTTCAGTGRGGAATYGAAGTGTTAAGAACAAAATCAGGCWTAAATCCAAATTTCAGTCCTGGTATAATGAAGGGGAAATGTGTGTCTGAGGGTCAGATGGAGCTCTGGTTTACAGAACCAAGAAGCTGAGATGACAACTGAATCAACTGCCCTTGGTTTGCCAGTCCAGGGCTCATTTTTAAACCAGTTCTCCTCAGTCTTATTGTACCAGGAGCATTCTTTCTCAAGGTGACTCCATATGAAATATGTCTTTGCCTTCCTAATGCCAACTGCCTACTCACATAAAATATTCTAAAATCTGTGAGTGGCTGAAGCCTGTTACTTTTGCATTTGACTTCAGACATCAAGGTAAATATCGCCATGCCTCAATCATAGCAAAATTAACTTCATTGTTAATTTCTTTGCTAAGATGAAAGGATTAACTTATGAAAATATTACCTGATACCAGAACAGAGGAAACATTAAATTATAAGAACATATCTTTTTCTTGTTGCAATCAAACATCTGTAGAAAAATAAATMTGAAAAGACACAGACCAAGTGGAAGGTATCAGCTTTGACAAGAAAGTCCCCAGACATATAGGCAGGAATTTCTACAAGCCAAGAAAAAATAATGGTAGGACWGACCAGAGGCACTGCTTTTTGCTTTCTTTGTCTCAGCTCATTCAACATTAATAAAATTGGAGGAATCAGTGTAATTAGCGCAAAGTAATAAACAAGGTTTTAATTTTCAGTTCAACGTCAAGAAAACCGCAGAGCCAGTCCAGCCYCGAGCACTTCTGAAGTTTCCCAACATTTATGGCCCCAAACCAGAAGTAACTTCACCTGAAATTGTTAACTACACACAGTACTCTCTGAAGACAACAGAAGAACCAGCAACTGGAAAACACACTGCTTTGGATGAGAATAGGATGAAGATACAAGTCAATGAAGAACTGTTTGTTCTCCCTCAAAACGGTAGGAGCTTTTGGTCTTCAGACTAACAATTGCTTTTCTGGGTGTATATCTGTAATACTTCTAAACATAATCTTATTGTTGTCAGAGAAATAAATGTGAAAATGAAGACATGGGGTGCTTTTCACTTTCTTATCATAAGCACTGTGAGCTCTGTATCCAATACATTTGTTTAATAGAAAGTAGTCATGCAGCTCATCAGAACATTGTGGTAACAAAGGTCTAGTTGTAACTTGTTGAAATATTTTTTAGCTAAATATCTTTTGTGTTGAAGAATCTGGCTCACTGGTAGCAGATATTCTGTAGAAAAGTACATTTAATGTAGTTTTACAAAGAGTAGTAGCCAGAGTGTGTGTGAAATACCTAGACAAAATTAGGCAGAATATCTCCTGGTCAAATGCTAGCTGCCCAGCAAATGTCCCTCTCAGGGACAGGGCAGGTTGAAGCTTCTGATTTTCTTTGCTCCTTTTTTCCCCTGGCTTGGTGAGATGTTCTTGGCTTATTGTAATGTGCAGTGAAACCAAAGGCTGATACCTCAAAGGATTTTGCCAMACAGAATTCCTGTTTCCCAGCCAGCCCAAAGGGTAACACTCCAATCCCGAAACGTAAGACTTCTGTAGCCTGAGAGAAAATGCAATCTTAATTRTATGCATCTGGCAGCATGTCTGGGTTTCTTCCATACTGATTTTTAACTTCACAGCTGTCTTTTAACAGGATAATTTACTCTTATGGTTACCACATTAATAAAACCTTCCTGAAGATTTGCCAGAGAGACAATACCATCTGTCATCATTTTTAACGAGTGCTCTTTTTTAGTTCTTTTTAATTGTTTGAGATTATATTTTTGCCCTTCTGGAAGGACAGTTGCTACATTCACCCCTCCACCCTGAGATTTGTGAGTATGGAAAAGAAAGTACCATGGGAAGCAGCTGCATTGGAGGAAGAGACTGTCTGAGCCACATCCTCAGGTGTCAGGGACAAGATTATAGGGTGGAAAAGATGAAAGATGATGGCTGTATTTAGGCTAAAGTGTTGGTGTAAGAGCCTCTCTGCACTGCTAATGGCACAAGCAAGTTTCCTTCCTGCTGTGCCTGATTTCACAGCTCAAGTGTTGCTAAAATTAAGCAAAAATTGTTGTGCTCTCCTTTCGATGTCACAGTGAACTGGGCTGAACTGTGGCTGAGATTTTTTTGGAGGAAATGTGCCAGTCCCACTATTGTTTTCTGTGTGCATCAGAACTGACCTTGCAGATAACAGCTTTGGATGACAAAAATCTCTGCCTTCTCTTTTAGTCTTGCAACTTGCTCTATTTTAGAATTAAATACATACTCAGCTCCTAAATCACCCATGGAGAAATTGCCTCATGGATTCCAAAGTTCATTGCCTTCAACCTGGACTTCACGGTTAAAATTAAAAAATGTTTAGAGACATCTGACCTAATGCAGGGTTGTACAGGAGTTCAAAAGCAGATTCACATTCTAATTGCAGAGACCAGAAGATTTAATTTAACAGTGCCAGTTAAAAGAATATAAAACAATATAACAATGGTTTTTAGACACATGGCCTAGTCATAAGGTAAAAGAGCAAGTGTGTACCATCATAGAGCACAGGGTGGTGGAGAGCAGAAGACTTGACCAAATGTTGTAGAAAGAGCAGAAAGTGCAAGTAAACAGAGCAAATGGAGGAAAAAGGAAAATAAATTACAGAAAAATTAAGCCAAGAGAARGGGGATTTGTTCTCTTGGGAAGGTGAAGAGCTGCTCTCTGACGGGTTATTTCAGTTCCAGGTGTGGTAAAGGACGTGTGTGTCACCGAGCACCTGAAGCCCGAGGGGGCAGCCAGCAGTAACCAAACCCCTGAGCTGCACTACTCCCTGCTGTACGAGCAGCACGAGCTGCGTGTGGCCCTTCTGGAAGGTAAGGACACATCCTCCCCCTCTGAATGGGCAACACAGCTGGTGATTACACTTTTAGAAAAGCTCCCCTCCTACCTTAACACTGATATGTGCCCTCGGGATCACTGAGTGTTTCACTCTGGCTGTAGAACAGAAATACTTGTGAACGTCGCTGCTTGAAGTGAGAGTGCAGGGCATGGCTTGGGAAAAACTGTTTGCACAGGTTTGTCAGGATGGGCTTCTCCAGTCCCAGACAAAGCAACCTCTTCTTTTTATTTTTTTCCTTTTGGGGGCAGGGGGAATGGGGTTACTATCCCCTTCCTCTCTGTACTGTTAATTCTTCAACCTAGTCTACTCCCTACTGCCTCTTCCTCAAGTCAAGTCGAAGGCTGGAGACACCAGCTTTATTTTGAGGAAAGTCCCTCTGGCAGTGCCTGGCCAGGCAGCCAGASTCTCTGTCACTCTCTGACAACTGTAGCAGCTTCTCCACTCAGGGCTGGAGCATTGTCACTTCTTCTGGGAGAGTAAAATAAGCTGACTGAATAATTCATGCACAGTGCAGATCTCTGTGAAAACCTAATCAAATCACACCATCTGAGGCAAGAATTGGAAGGGTGCTGAATGGCATCCACTGCTGTGGGTCCCCTGCCAGCAGCAAGCCCACAGTTCCCCTCCAGAGTGAGCACCCACGCCTGCTGGCTGTCACCCTGGCACTCCTGTGCACAGAACCTGGCTCTGCTCCCCAGTGCCACTCCCCTGGGAAGCCAGGAGAGCCYTGTGACCCACAGGTCCTGGCAGCTGAGGGCCAGCTGTCCTTGCACTGGCTGCAGCAAGGACAACAGTTTGGCYGTGAGACCCATGATACTCAATGAACCCTTGGAGAAAGGACGGTTCCTCTTGCTGCGGAGAAGGCASCAAAATTCTGTTCATGCAGCTGAAGAGAACTGTGAAATGCCATTCTCACTCAAGGCTTTTCAACATAACAGGGATTTAAAATTAGGGATGAATCTCTCTTGACACAGGTCTCTTGGGCTGTGGGATGGCTTCTGATGGATTAATTTACCACAGGCTGGACAAACAGAATGCAATAACCCTTAGACATATCCCACACTGGCCTGCAGGGATGGATGTGTGCCAAAGGAGGTCTATCCCATCTCTGATGTCTGTGACTGACCTTCCTGTTTTTAAAGTCATCGTGAGAAGATTTTGTTTTGTGTGACAAGGTAAAAGTAAATGAGGCTGCCAATCCCTGTTTCATGCTGCCTTATTTCAGTGCTGTTCTGCATCTTTCAACAGAGCAGGTTTCCTTGAACTCAGTCGTTGCTCTCCCAAACACTGGCAGCATCTTTCTGCAGTGGCAGAAGGACAGGGACATTGTGCAGCCTGAGGGAAACACCACAGCATGGGCTGACAGCTTAAGCCACTCCAAAGCAGGCAGGAGYAGGGGTCAATGTCTATGCAGCTGTTTTATTTTATGACTATCATGAAATAAGTGATTCAGCCACAGATATTTCAGGGCTGTCTTTTGTGAGAGTCCTCATGATCAACCTTTTCCAGCTATGCACGGCAGAATGAGCGGGGACCAAGATGCTGGCTGCCACTGCTACATCCTGGGCACACTGGAGAACAAGACTGGAATTGCTGAGGCMCAGACAGAGCTGAAGAAGAAGGTCCTTCACACCGTTTGGGAGGAGGTCCTGCGATTCCCATTAACAGAGGAGGAGCTGCCAGCAGGGACACTGACACTCACCCTGAGGAACTGTGACAAGTTCTCCAGGCACAGCATCGTGGGGGAGCTCAAACTGAACCTTGCTGAAATGAAGGAATCTTTTGGGAAGGCCCAGTGGGAAAGGCTAAAGAGCCCAGAGAAGGTATGGACTCAGGCCGTGTCGGTTGTCCAGAAACCCTAATGATTAATGGTTCAGACAAGAGAATCCCTTTTCCTAGATGGCTGCATGTGGCTTTACTTGTTTGGAGCAGGTTTAGAGGGGTGATGTGTCTCTGCAGAGATCCCTCAGCACAKCTCTGTGTTGGTCTGTAGCTCATCACATCAGAAACCCTTCCATCTATTGCTCCCAGCAGTCAATGTGACACAACTCCCTCAGCTCCTCCCCAGTTACATGACAATCTGACACCAATGTCTGCCATTCAAATGTCTAGAAAAAGGTATGTGAGCTTCTGAGAATTGGTGATATAAGACCAGAGTGCAGGAGCTGAAATATCAAAGAATGCAGAGCCTGATGGAKGGACTCTGCAAAGCTGGGTCTGGGTAGGGCACACAGTGGCACCCCAGAGAGCCTTAAGCTAGGAGTGAAATATATTGTTGGGATGGAGATGTTGGACTGAAGGACACTTATTCTTCCTGGAATCAATCCACGGCTATTTGTTTTGAGAGATGTTAAAATAYCATTCATTGCACTGCATTGGCTTCCTTAAACATCAAAAGCTTCCTTTCCCTTCCTAATCCACATTTTGCCAGCTGCACWGACAGGGAAGGATTCCAGCAGTTCTAGAGGTGGGTACAGGGGACGCTTCATGCACACTGATTTCTTACACATTTCCTCAGGAGCCTTTTCCCTCCTTGAATTAGGTTATTCTTGTAGCAGCAGCAATTCACTTGAGATGGCAGCAGGGTCCTGCTACTGCTGCTGCTTTCTCGTCACAGTTGGTACCTGTTGAACTCTGCTGTGGCACGGGGAGAGCAATGCAGAACAAATACAGCACTGTCACTAAGCATGGTGAAATAAATTATTGCCCGTCACCATCAGGGGTGAGGGCTCTCCACTGAGCTGGCCATTGACASAGAGTGAGCATTTCTGATTTCCAGTCGTGCTGATTTATCTGATAATCACTTGAATACTAACAGGACTGTCCACACTAAAAACACATCTGTTGGGGACAGAGGCAGCAGAAACAAATGTGGTTCAAAGGAGTTTAAAAACCTTCGAGCATGAGACTGAATATTTGTCTGATAGCTGTAACCCTACCCCTCTCTCCCCACACTGCTCCTGCTTTTTTAGCAATACCCAAGGAACAGCCTGATCACAGCAATGGCCAGTTGTTACTCCACTGCACCTGATGGATTCCTGATACAGTGGGAATTCTGCCTTGCTCCAGCTTCACAACCCCACACAGAAACAGGACACCATTAATTTTTTCTTCAGGCTGACAGCACAAGGTTAACACCAGCAGCACTGTTGAACAGTGCCCTAGTTTGAGCTAAGGATGTGCAGTGAAAGCTGAATTTGCGTCATCTGGGACCTGAGAGAGCCAACCATTGCACAGATAGCTTATGTATACATATCCTGAATCATTCATTGAGAACCAGAGAGGGAGGGAGTGAGGAAGAGCTGATCAAAAAAGAGGAGCTATTTTTGACAGCATTCACCCAGGAACAAAGTTACTGAGCTTTGTGTGGCATTTCCCTGAAATGCCAGGAAGGGCAGAAATTTCGTTCCTACCTTCGCAGTAATTCTCCCACGCACGAGGGAAGGAGCTCAGAGCCGAGCTTACAGCTAACCAGGTAATGCAATTAGCACTCAGGAATTCATTGGGACCTGGGAGCCATGCAAAGCCTAGATGCTGGGGACTGATATCCTTATCTTGTCTWCCTTCCCTCCCACTGCTTTGCTAATGACAGTGATGATAGTGGGTTGATGATAGTGTGTTCTTGCATAGCAACTTCCCTTTTACCATTTCGTGGTGCCCTGCACGTAATTCAGTGATGACCCCTTAATGCKATTTATCCACATTGCATAGAAAGAGAGACTGAAGCTCTGATGGTTGTGTGAATTTGCAGGATTGCAGCACAAAATGTAGGTTATGGATTTAATAGAAAAAAAGAACACAAAGAAAGCAAAGCCCAGAAGGAGGAAGGAAAAGTGCCTCTGGTTTGGTCTCTTCACACAAAACTCCAGCACAGACCAAGCACTGTAGGTTTTGTTTTCATGTGGATACAGGCTGGCCAAAGACTTGATCAGCACACTGAGAGCTAGAAAGCCATAGGCACAAGATGTGACCTGAGTGCAGTGCGAGGGTTTGTGCGTGTGTGCACGTCTACAGAGCCCCACCCCCTCCCAATCTCCTCTGCATCTGTCTGTGCCTGGAGCTACAGGAACCAAATTCTAGCCAAGAGCTATAGAATGGGACCTGCTGAGATGTAGGCGGGGTAAATAAACAAAAGCAGCTTATGACATGCCTAAACTCTGGTTTTGCACTGAGGTGGTGTTTGCACTTGTCCCTTGGCGTACAATTTTTTGTAGTGGACATGAAGGCATTGAAACTCTCTCTTTATGTGTGGGTTATTTTAAGGTCCACTTCAACTTAAGACAGGATTCACGTAAATAAAATGCATATGAGCCTTTCATTGCTACCTGAGTGCATGAAAAAAGATTTACTTGGGTTGACTTAGGATTGAATTTCAGGCTGCCTTGCTAATGGCCTCCCACCTGATTTGTGCAGGACAAATCAGTCATTCAAACCAGACAGCRATGACAGCCATGTTTTCTGGAGAGTCAATCAGCTCATGGGGARCGTACAGGGGCCTGTCCTTGCCTGTTTCAAGTAAATGGCTGAAAACTTAATCTGAAATATTTATGGCTCACTTAGTAGCGACAGCGCAGAGCACAGAAATGGCCTGGAGAAGGGCTGTCTGTCCTCGAGGATGTAGAACATGCTAAGGAGCCCAGAACGGGTCTCTTGAATTGACATTGGCTTTCTGAAACTCTTCTGGGTCATTAACCTCATACTAAACCAGATTTCTGTCACAAGCTCCTGCTCACTGAGAGATTAACTGCTCCCCTYCCATCCCTTGCCATGGGCTGTCAGCTCTGCATACAATGGTGTGGGATTTCTCTCCTCCCCTGCTGGCTCCCAAGGAGGAAACAGTATTACTGTCCCAGGGGAGGGCAGTGGTGGTGTGACTGTGTCCCTAGGCTTTTCCTCCAAGGAAAAATGGAAGGAAGGGGAAAGGGAAATGAGTTCCCAAAGGGGCAGCAGGGAGAGCTGCTCACAGTCCTGACAGAAGGCAAGTGGGAAGGAAGAGTAAAGTACTGTGCCCAGCTCATGGAGGATTTCAGCTTGGCTTTGGTTTTTTCTCATTCAAAATAGGGTGTCAGAGAAGTGTAGCTCCAGCCCCAGGTCTGATAGCCCCAGGCATCATCTCTGCTTCCCCARGGAGCTCTACACTCCTGCTGGGCAGTGTGTACTGGAGGCTGAGTCAGTCAGAGCCTCCTGGGAAATGGAGCACCTGAAACCAAAAGTGAATTACAAAAAGCAGTAAAGATGGTAGTGGACATAAATACAGGCCAGCTACATGGACTCTCAAAATAGAAATATCTGACAATTTGCATTGTACATCAGCCCCAAATCTTCTGACTAAATATTGCACTAAAAGTTGGTGTCAGGAAGCAGTTACCTTCCAGCAACATAAGGATTCACTAACTCACATTATTGGAGCCTTATGAGTGGAGAAGCCTCTCAGGTGTCTTTGCCGGGTTTTTTCTCATCCAGAGTAACTGGAAAGATCTCCTGCACAAACCCAGAAAGACAACTTGGTTGTCCATGCCCTTCTACCCATCAGTCTTCTACTACTGTTTTCCTAATGTTCTGGCCAAGGTTATATTAAAAATTAACCCCTTCTGTGTCTCCATTTCCAGGAGCCATCCACGGGCCATGGCGAGGTTCTGCTCTCTATTAGCTACYTGCCTGCAGCTAATCGCCTGCTGGTGGTGATCATTAAGGCTAAAAATCTCCATTCCAAGCAGCTGAAAGATCTCCTTGGCAGTGGTGAGTGTAACAGCAAGGAAACAGGGACTGTTGTTTCTGCTATTCTGTAAATCTAGAAAGAAAGTGGGATGGGTGGTGTTTGGCAGAAAAAAAAATACGTGTCTGGTTYAGAAAGCCAAAGAGATTTGGATAATTTCTAAAAACTGAAAACCAAATGCTCCCCTGATCAATATTTCTTGCACGTTCTCTCTCAGTTTGATGTCACCATGGAAAATTCTCTTGCATTTTTGGATGCAGATGCAGGCATCACAATATAAAAAAGACATTAAGGTGTTAGAGAGTGTCCAAAGGAGGGCCATGAGAGTGGTGAAGGATCCAGAGAGAAAGGCATATGAGGAACAGCTGAAGTCTCTTGGTCTGTTCAGCCTGGAGAAGAGACTGAGGGGAGACCTCATTGTGGTTTTCAACACCCTCATAGGGGAAGCAGAGAGGCAGATCTCTTCACTCTCATGACCATGGACAGGACTCAGCATGAAGCTGAGCCAAGGGAGGTTTAGATTTGATATCACAAAAATGTTTTTCACCCAGAGGGTGGTTGGGCACTGGAACAGGCTCCCCAGGGATCTGGTCACAGCACAAGCCTGACAGAGCTCAAGAAGCATTTGGACAATGCACTTGGGCACATGGTGTGATTTTTGGGGTGTCCTGTGTAAGGCCAGGAATTGGAGTTAATGATCCTGATGGGTCCCTTCCAAATCAGCATATTCCAGTGCAGTCGAGTCTATTCCATTGGTTGCATGCTCACTAACATGGGATCTCTCTGCATCCCGACACAGATGTTTCTGTCAAGGTGACACTGAGGCATCAGTCACTGAAGCTGAAGAAGAAGCAGACCAAACGTGCAAAACACAAGATCAACCCTGTGTGGAACGAGATGATCATGTTTGAGGTGCCTCACGAGCTCCTGCGTGCCTCCAGCGTGGAGCTGGAAATGCTGAGCCAGGATGGAGCTGGCCAGAGCCACGTGCTCGGCAAGTGCAGCCTGGGCTTGCATGTCACAGGCACAGAGAGGAACCACTGGGAAGAAATGCTGAGGAACCCCAGGAGACAGATTGCCATGTGGCACCAGCTCCACATGTAGGCTCATCATGATTACTGACAACAAGAGTCCCACCAGGCCTCCGAGCCGGGGCAGATAAGCTGGATTTCACCTTCYACCTTCCCCTCCACAAAGCTGCTCAGCACAGCACACTTACTACACCACCYTYCTCTGATTTTYCTGCCCATCCTAGCCAATGAAACTGTCTGGAAAATGTATTTAAAGGATAGTCTCTCACCTAATCAAGTGGTTGTCTCAAAGAAGGGGTTTGGCTGCCTGGATGGTTTGAATTAATTTTATTTGCCTGCCCACTGCCACTTTTGAGAGGTCCCTGTTCCTGTAGARGAGCAGAGTGGAGCAAAGAAGAGCAAAGTTATCATGGAAATATAAGCCCTTCATTGGCATCTGGCACTGTCACCCAGGTCCCTTGATGAGTGTTGGCTTCACAATCACAAACACGCAACTGTTTCACCACTCACTGCTTTTCATAATACTCTACAAGGCTGGGAAATGAAGATCACAGAACTGACTGTCATGGCAGGCATGAAGATTCAGTATGAAACAGAGAGGAAAGCCAAAGTACAGTAAATATATACCTAGAAAAAGATCCAGAACTAAGGGAGAGAACAGAGCAACAAGAAAGGGTGAGACAGTCAACACCCTTATCCTGTGCAGCCTTTGAAGCAAACACTGCCAAACAAGAAGTCAAATACCTTCCTTTACTTTTGTTTCCTGGAGAGTTTGATACCCTGTATTTAGGATTCGGGAAAACTGTTGAAAATATGAATGTTTCAGGACCCTTTARCAGAATACCCATATCTTCTTTCTTCCCTGGTGTCATCCAGAAAGACCCTAAATATAGACAAAAAGTAATGGCTGATGTTACCTCCAAAAACTTGGACCAAATTTTTCTGTTTACTGTCATCTTTTCTGTTTAGGTATTTCTGAGCTAGAAAATTTCAAATGCACTAATTATATTCCAGGCAAGATCTAAAATTAGGCAAAAGAAGTTTCATGCCTTAGCAGCTGATAGATGGTTTTGGTTTGACAGTTAACTATTGCACTCAAATCCTCCTACCAGCATTACTCAAACACGGCCCTTTTTAACTGCCATGTATTTCATCACTTCCAGACAGAAGGAATTCACCAACCAGACAGACTCTCCAGGCCTTCTCTTTWGTGTGCACTTTCAAGATCTGATGTGGCTTAAATGTTTCTTTTGACTGCCCTTTTTTCTGTCTAGATGGACTGAAAGCTGGCAGTGGGGATGTCATGACCCCATAAGCACACAGCTTGTTCTACTGCTTCTTTTCAAGTAGTAGACAAAACTTTAAGGGATTTCAATGGGGACAAGGYGCCCAAAAATCTGAAAACAGGACCATATAATTTGTAGCCCTGAAAATCTCAGAGAACTTCATATTTGCAGAGTCAGAGTCAGAAAAAATAAAACTCTTGCTTAAATCAAATTAAGCTAAGCTTTATCTAGTATCCACCCTGTTCTGATGGTGCAGTAAAAGAARTCTAGCAGATTGTTGAGGGAAGGCTGCCATCCTGTTGGCAAAGGGAAAGCTGGCCAAAGMACCAAGCACAATGGGTTCTGAAGAGGGAAATGAAGTTCAGCTGGAAGTCAGTAACCAGWAGTGATGTGCTGGTCATGAGACTGATGTTGTTTAACACCTTCATAAATGACCTGGACAATTGGCCAGAGCAGCACGGCCTCAGTGAGTTTGTAGATGATGCAAAACTGGGAATTTGTTCAAAATTGCAAAACTATCAATTTAACTGATTGATACACAAGGCAGTTGTGCTGAGGGATGCTGAGAGGCTKGAGAAATGGGCTAAGAGGAACCTCCTGAAATCCAGCAAGGAGAAGTGGAAAGTCCTGCACCGGGGGAAGAACAAGTCCATGCACCAGTGCAGGGGTGGGCACTGACCATCTGTAAAGGAGTTTTCCAGAAGAGGAGCTGAGTGTCCTGGTGGGCAGCAAGCTGAACATGATGAGGCAGCAGTGTGTTCTTGCAGCAGAGAGGGACAACAGTGCTTTGTGCTGCATTGAGACAAACACTGCCAGCAGGTCAAAGGGGAGCGATCCCTCATTTCAAATCACCGGTGAGGGCACTTCTGGAGTGTTGTGTCTAGTGCTGGGTTCCCCATCGCAAGAAAGATACAGAGTTTCTGGAAAGAATGCAGCAAATGGCTATGAAGATGTTAAAGGGACTGAAGCATCTTCTGTAGGAGGGGAGGCTGAGAGAGCTGGAACTGTTTAGATCAATGGGTACAGACACCTGACCTGGGAGAGGAAAAAGGAAGATGGGGACAGACACTTTCCACTGGTGCCCAGTGACAGGACGAGAGCCAAGGACAAGTCAATTGCAACATAGAAAAATCCATTTGAACACATGAAAAATGCAAAGAAAAAAACCCTTTTTTACTGTGAGGCTAGTCAAACACTGTAACAAGTTACAAGGAGAGGTTGTTGGGAGTCCCCATGCTTGGAGACACTGAAAATCTGATGTGGAACAGTGTGAACAACCTGCTCTAGTTTATCCTACTTTGAGCAGGGGTGAGTTTGGACAACATGATCTCCACAGGCTCTTTCTATCCTCAGTAGTGCTATGATTCTGTGAGGGTACTTGCAAGGTTGATGCACACTGAAAACTCTTATCTTTACAATTCCCCTTGTGTGKGGTGTAGCCAGGAGTTACAGGATCATTTTGAAGAGAGCAATCAAACCAACTTTTTCCAAACAGACAGAAAAGCTAARAATGCCCAGGAATCTTACACCCAATGTTTTAATCTCTGATATTGATCTATTGGCTAGAGGGAATGTAAACAAAAAGAAAATTGGTTTCTTGTTTTGCTCTATGAGGTTTTGTTTACTAACAGAAAGCTGTGGGATACTGTGAGTAAACTGGACACAGGGGTCTGGTCGATATTGAATTCTTAATGCATTCTGATCCTGATCTGCCTATCGTGATATGGAATAATTATTTCCAYTGAAGTGCAGCATTCACGGGAATGTTGGCCTAGATCATGTATAGGTTCCAGGCAGCACTGTTATTTTTTGGGGGATAATTATAAGAAGGATATCTTCACAGGATGATGCTATTTGGCTGGCACTGGAAAGCCTGAAGGGCCAAATATTTGCCTTGCTGCCAACTCCTCTAGCTCTGCATCCTGCTTGTTTCACTGAGCCTTTTATAACATCTTGATGACTGATTGTAAACAGCATTATCTGCCTGTGCCCTGGTGATTCTGGCACACCCTGTAATAGACATCCATCCTATGGCATTTAAAAGCATACATTCTCAGAATCTGAATTAACTACGGCAAAACAATGCCTTGTTTTACAGCAGAAAAATAYAGCACTACTTAGCCACAAATCTGTCCTAGGAGCTGAGTGGTGCCATCAGCGTTAACGAACGGCATTGTTTCCTCCTTTGCTGAAGTGGGATTTAAGGGGAAAAAGAGAAAGAGGGAAAATGCCTGCATATTTCCCGGATGGATTATTCTTGTTGTCTGGCATTTTAGCCCTGAAAGGATGCTCCTCGCCACCAGCAGTCTGAACAAAGGCTGCCAGGTGTCCCCGGGAGGTGGCCGGGGCTGACAGCGGGCACGTAACGGGGATCAGGAATGCTGTGTACGTGTGGCACCCGAGGGGCAGGAGCGCCCAGCCCRGCCTTTTGAACTCTGCTGTGTGTCACCGCATTCCAGCGTCTGCCCAGGGCCCTGCCCTCATCCCCGAACATCCTGTGGGGCAAAATCTCTGTGTCCCTGCGCCTCAGCACCCCAAGGGCCGGGGGACTAAACTGGCCCAGCAGACAAGCGGCTGGGAATGGCTGTGCTAGGTGACAATGTCACGAAGATAAATCTGAAGWATTTGGAAATGCCATTGTATCAAACGGCTCCAGCCACTCAAGCTGTCAAAGTATCACTGAAATGCGATAAGGATGGAGCCAGACAGACCCACGGTTTTCAGCTCCTGCAGTTGAAAATGCAGGAGCATCAGCAAGCACTGCTACATATTAAATTAAAAGATGCTGCCTATAAATTGCATCATAAAAGAAGAAGCAAAAAAAAAAAAAAAAAAAAAAAAAAAAAAAAAAAATAAAAAAAAAAAAAAAAAAAAAAAAAAAAAAAAAAAAAAAAAAAAAAAAAAAAAAAC